CGGGCTCCGAAAAACGCGGTGTGGGCGGGGGGGGGCGGGGCGGGCGGCGGCGCCGAGGGAGGGCATCCGCCGCGGGCGTTCCGGCGCCACTGCTCTGTGGGCCCGCGTCGTTAACTGCGGTCGCTTGAACCAGCGGCCCCCGTCACTGGCGTGGGGAGCAAAGCCTTCGGCAGTGCTGGCTGGTCTCCTGCTGAGAAAAAAGCTTCAGAGAACGCACTAGGTGTGGTTGTTACATCATATAAATGTGTTGTCAGGTACAAGCAAAAACTTTTAGAAATATTCTTTCTCTGCCCAAATTCTACCTGTGTCTGCAAAACCAAAATTTCTCCTTTCATAGAATCGCTAAGGTTGGAAAGGACCTCTGAGATCATCGAATCCAACCTGTTAACCCAACTGCCAGGTCCACCTCTAAACCATGTCCCTAAGCACCACATCCACGCGTTTTCCGAATACCTCGGTGACTGTGATTGTACCGCTTCCCCGGGCAGTCTCACCCATACCGTGCACGGATTCAGCTCTGGGCGTGTTCTGAAGCTTAAGGAGCCTTTTGGGGATTGGGACATATTTGGGAATTGCTCTGTTAAAGTGTGTGAGCAGACAGGAGCTCCCTCAGGCTTTGACGTTACTTTCAAAAAAGTCTCTCGCGGCTTACCAGACAGAACTACCTTCCTACCAGCTTCTGTAGATACTGCCTTCTAAGTAAAGGGTGAAAAGCACTATCTTATTGATTGCTGTAACTGACTTGTTACATCGTCATTATCGCTAAGTTATAAAAGGCTGTGCAGCTGTGAGAAGCCTTTTACGTGGTTAGGTACTGATCAGTGTGTTAGGGAAATAGAGATAAGAAAGTTATTGAAAAACTTCAACCATGTGCTAAAGACCTCTGTTGGTTTCAAGGCATGTTTTGCCCAAAGGATAACAATAACAAAAGTTCCATATTTTCTTGTGAAGCTTACAGATGTTAATAATTCTCTAATTTCAGCCCATACAAATGGAGAACCCCTATAAAGAGCCTCCTAAAAAATGCATCTTGTGTGGAATAAATGTGGACTACAAGAATGTGCAGGTGAGCTTGAAAATTCCTGTCCTTAGATGAAGGTAACTGGTTTACTATTTTTAAATGTGTGTAGGAAGTCCACAAGGATAAAAAAAAATGAAAAATTCATTCATATGTGTAGGCGTTTAAAATGTAAAGAGTAAGAATGTGTGCAGGTAAGGGTCAAATAATGTAGTTGTGGTAAGCTGTTCAATCTGCTAGTCCTATGTGCAGGTGTTACAACTTTGCTATTTAGCAAAGAGAGTCCTTAATTCTAATTCTGCTGTCATGTAGTTTAAATATTACGGTATATAAAATACTGTCTAACTCCAAGCTATACCCTTTCTTGTCTCTAGGTAGAAATGAGTTTTGTAAAAACAGACTAAAAAATAAATAGAATGCAAGTAGTAAACTAAAGATCTCTAAAAAAAATTCTTAAACTCACTTTGGATTTTTTAATTTTGAATAGCTTCTTTCCCAGTTTGTTTCTCCGCATACTGGCTGCATTTACGGCAGGCATATAACAGGTATGTGAAGTATTAAATTAAATAATTTGCTGGTTAATATTAATGTTCTTGTGACTCCAGGTAATGGCATATCATCTATCTTTCCAAAAGTAACTATTGCCAACTCTATACATTTTTTTAATAGCAGTATTCTCACTTAGTAGCTTTCATCAAAGAATGAAAATAGCCCTTAAGTATGTTTTTGGTATTTAACAGTATAAGCAGACATGCATTTTTTTTCTAGGAAGACTTAGACAAAGCTAGAGGGAATTGTCAGTAATACCACTTTCAGCCTTTAAAGTAATGGTTTGGTTATTGTTGATGCTTTAGGCTTGTGCAACAAGAAGCAGAAGGAAGTTACAAAAGCCATTAAAAGAGCTCATGTACTTGGTAAGTATGATTATGCTTTTGAGTTTTGTCAGTCAAGCCTACTTTCCTATTAAAAAACCCCTCCATCTTATCTTTTTACAGGATTTATGCCAGTTATGTTTAAGAACCCATCATTTCTCACAGACCCCAAGATATGTAATGTCAAGTATCCAGAGTAATATACTATACAGAAATAAACAATAAAACTACTTTTCATGTTTATATACTTGTTTACTGGAAATGTGCTTGGCTACCATAATGCATCACTGACTGAAGGGTGGATGTCAGTTGCTTTTTTATGAAGTGTCAAGTCTCTAAAATTGTCTGAAGGAAATACAAAAGATGAGACTGACAGTGGAAATTGGCAACTGTATGGACCACTTCCTCTGCTCGCAGGTCTTGCTGAAGTTCAGGTGGCTGTTTTTCCCTTGCTGGATTGGAAGGGGGAAAAAAATAAGCAAGTAGTGGAGAGCTAAGGATAAATTAAGGTATTTAAATTGTGGCAATTTATGTACACAGCTAATTCTGTTAAGCATGTTACCTGTGTTCATTTGATGCTCCCTGCCTCAGCTTCTGCTGAGGGAAGGGTAGTACTGCTTCTTCAACAGCAGCTTGAAGTTGTATTACTCTGAGGCATTATGTGACACGGTTATATGGCTGCTAACATCCTGCTAGCATAGTCTTTAAACCCTGAGAGAGCGAATACAGATTTTAACTCTGGAAGGCAAAATGAGGGAATGTCTTCTGCATTTGTCTCTATGCCAGACAGGATTCATCCATTGGGGGGGGGGGAAACAAACCTGTACATCTTGCAAAAATGCACTGTTTTTTATTCCTGCAGTGCTAGAAATTGATATGTCACTTGAATAAACTGGCAGTAGCTTTTGGTTCAAAGTCATCTGGACAAATCGTTAACAGATCAGAAAGTAGGAGAGTGTGGGTATTCATTTGTGTCTCTGTTTTTTTCCAACACGTCCTCATCAGTTTCAGTGCTACTCAGTGTAAGCTTCCTTTCCTGGTCACTGTCCTCTTGGTCTCGAAGTAATTTTTGGTGAAGCTGCAGTGATCTGGATTTCTTGAATGACTTTGATCCTGTTGTGGTCCCTCTGAGTTTACGCTTGGTTAGGTGTCTTGTTTCAGCTTCACTGAAGTCTCTTTCCTCTACCATGAGAGTCAGTTTGTCCACGACATTAATATTATGGTCAATGTTACAGCAGTTCGTGGACATCTGTCGGCCTTTGAAGGAAACAACACATGTCTGAAGTCCAGAATTGGGGAAAAATGTTTGCAGTGCCTGACAAAGGAGAACGTTCTCCTTTGGCTCTTCTGGGTAGCCTCTGTCTTCTCCTGGAAGGAAAAAAAAAAAAAAGGCTAGAGCTGCAGTTCCTCTTGCACACTTCTACCACTACTGTTTTGGCTGCCTCAGGTTCAGAAGTGTTTTGGGCTTCTGCCGATCGAATCAACTTTGGAAGTCTTACTAAGACTGGCGTTGCATTTATTTAACTTACCTGAACAACTTCGTTGCTTTTTCCTCTTTATTTCTTCTTTTAATTGCCTCACCTCTGCTAAGAGTTTCTCTACAGATCGTTCACTGGCTTCTACTGTAGAGCATATTTCCTGCAAGGAAAAGAGCATTTGATGGAATTAGCAGTATTCACAGAAGCTGACTTTAACCTTGTCGCAAAATCCTTAAAGGTGCTCATGATTTAAAAAGTTGGACACAAAGTATTAAAAAGCTTACGTAATGAGCTTGAGGTGGATTTGAGCAATGGTAACTTAAACCTTGTGTTGAATGAGGTGCAAGATGTTTTACTTGTTCCCATCTAAGCAAAGGAGCTCTGACAAACTACAGATAGTGCTCCTTCAAAGTAAGCTCTCACAAGAGGATTATCAGTGGACTTGAGGATTTACCAGTGTACTTTTGATCAAATGGAGACTTAAGTCTTCAACTTTGAGAACTTAGTGTACAGCTACTAACAGTAAATGGAACTCCCTGATCTTTCAATATGCGCTTCCAAGACACAGCTTTGTTTGTCATTTAGCGCAAGATGGTGTACCGTTTGCTTGACTTGGTTTTGCAGTGCTGCTGAAAGTAACCCTATCAGCAGGTATGCCTGATTTACCTTCAGTTCCTCCTGCAAGGTGGCATACATCTCATTTATCTTATGAACCTCTTGTAAGGATCCATCTTCATAGAAGAATTCTGACCTGTGGACCAAGAATATAACTGCAAGTTAATGATCCCAGTGCTCACTTAGTAGGAGCTATAATGAACAGAGAAGCACATTGAGCCTCAACACTAGTTGCCTATGTTGAGACAGACAGCTGCTCTCATGGCAAAGCATGGGAGTTAACTAATTTCCAAGTACCTTGGAAAGGTAAATAATTGCAGGAAATGGGTCAACAAGCAGGCAGGTATGGCTGTAGCATTTGCAAAAGCACTTAAAAGAATACTTCTATAGAAAGATAACTATACTTACTTTAACTGAAAGCTACAGCTATCAGTAAATACGTCATATATTGTACCTGTGTTGTCTTACTGCTCTCACAAAACCAGAAGATACGCAGGAACCAGACACTGTTCTGTAACCTTGCTGTTCTGCCATACCCAAGTTGGTAACCACCAAAGGAACTTTCTGGAAAAGACTTAAAAAGCAGAAGTATGAGAACATGATTTATTAACATCCAAAGGCCTCTCTTTGACAGTTAAACGTTCTTGACCATTAAGCATCACAGACGGAGGTTTACAGTATAGTTAGTTCTTGCTAAATGTATCGCATCACACTTATGGCTAAAGGCAAACTGCGTGAGCAACAAGACTCTGAGCAATGCCTCTCGTTTTTTCCCCGTTTCTGGGTATGAGTCACACAGTAATGCAATACTTGCTTGTTAAGCCTAGCCCATGGGCAGCATGTCTCCAAAGATAACTGAAAATTATCACCGATTTAAATATTTCAATGAAGGTGAACACCATGCGTAGTTGAAGTCCTACATGCAAAACCAAATTGATCAAGAACACCTTATGTGCATAAATGAACTGACAGTGTCTGCCTGTGGATGCTGGTGCTACAGATAGTTATAAAGGCAAATCCCTGAACAGAACTCCAAGGTAAGATTTCAACTGGGCTCCAGCAATAGAAGGAATAATCTTATTTAATGTGTAAGTTTCAAGGGTAAAATAAACAGTGTTAACAATAATTCAGTTGCAACAAAGAAAAAACCAAACTGTTCCAAGTTACAGCACATGCTCTGCTACTGCTTTACTAAAACTGGAGAACAAAACAATTACCCTTCTTGCGGCCGATGTAAGGCGTGTTCCAGTCTGTAAGTAGAACAACTTTCTGTCATCACGCTAGAGGTTAACAAAAGGAATACAAGGCCCTGATTCGATAGGTGTGACTGTAAATTCTTATGAAGAAGTCTTTCCCGGAATGTCATGGTCTGGTCTGTGTTACGTCTGAATTTGTACCATCCTATTACACTCTGTAGGCAGAAGAAAATTCATTATTACTGTTGAATCACGCTGTCCCTGTGTGCCATACTGAAGCAAGTTAGAGGATTCGGTACAAAGCCATGAATCGGAATTGTTTGGCGATGTGTACGTATTCAAGCAGTTAGTTAACTTGAAACCCTTAAAGCATCCAGGCCTAATTCCAGTATGACAACTTCTCTCTTTCCTTCAAAACCGTGTGTTGAACTGGCCTGTTTTCTGAGCTTGTGCTCAAACTGAAACTCTGCAAACTTGGTTCTGCTGTTTTGCTGTTTGTCTCTTTCCAGCTTCTACTTTCCCTTTGTGAAACTTTCTTCTGTGGAGAAGACTGTAAATTGTTTTGGTCAAGTGGCGCTTAGCCACTTGAGTGAGCTGACCTCAACTGATCTTAAGCTAGAAATCAGTAGAATTCCTCTGAGATATTTGAACTGTTTGCTTGAGAAATGAATAAGAAAAAATAAAGTTGTGACACATACGTAGGCAAACCCTAGTCAAAAATAATCTAAACTGTTCTTTCAGGGGGAAAAGATGATGCAGCTGCCTTGACCAGCAGTATGAGGGACTACATACAAGATTTAAAAAAAGGAGAGGAAAAAAAGCTTGGTACAAGAGGTATCCAGAACAGCCCCCAAAATCTGAGCAAGCCCCTTGGTGTGGTTTAGGTTTGGAAATAAAATACCTTCTTACAGCCGGATAGTATTTTCTTCAGAGCAAGTTCATTCAGTTCTCCTGCAGAATTATAAAAGCTAGAAGAAAATTAGGACAATTAGAGGAAAAAAAAAATGCTGCTGTAGAAATAATTGTTCCCTAGCAGTCTGGCAGTCATATCACTTGAATAGCTCTCCCCCACCCCCACCCCCCCCACGCAAAAAACAACCATCA